TGGCTTTGTCACAAACCCGTTAGAGGGCCGACTCTTAAAAAACGGTTTCAAGAGCGAGAGGGAGAGCAGATGTGGCGATTTGGTTAAAAGAAAAAACACGCACATCGTAAATATCTTCCCTCGGTACTCGAGCAGAACCGGTGTTATTTGTTCTCTGTGGCACGCCGTCTTTGTTTCTTCCTTTCTTTATGTGTGTGTGTGTGTGTGTGTGTGTGTGTGTGTTTGTTATTGTTAGGTTGGTTCTTCAAGTGGAGCCCTGAATATGCCGGTAAGACACAGTGCACAGATGTGTTGAAAAATCAAAACAAGGATCAGCATGAGAGCACACGCCTCAGCACGCACACACACACACACACACACACACGCGCACACACACGCACACGCACGCACACGGACACACACGCACACACACACACACGCACACACACGCACACACACGCACACACAAACACACACACACAGGCACACACACGCGCCAACTGCCTCGACATGAAGCCGATGCTGTTTTCTAGGTCACCGTCGCGCCGAGTGAATTGACAAGTTTTCCGATCTTGGTAAAAAACGTTTGAAGTTATTTCCAGTAATTGGATGAATGAATTTATGATTATGCAACTTTTTCTCTCTTCTTTTTAAATTCTTGCATTTAAAAAAAAAAACTTCCTAAAACAAATTTACAATAGCTCCCACTCACTTATTTATCTCAAGCTTTCAACCTCATCACATGCTCTTCAGTTAGAAATGTATGTGTTAACAACCTCTAGGACAAATGTGATTTTGCTGTACGTCGGCTTTTTTACGATTTGGAAACAACCTCAGGTTGTTCTCACTATTTCTGGAGCTTTCCACTGTGTCAAACTGTCTTTAACTGCAAAGACGTTCTCCTCTGTTATTGCCTAAATGAAGATGTTAAAACTCTCAGTGATCACCTTGCACGTGTTTGCTGTAATGCTTTGAATAAGTAGTTCACCAACCCAATATGAACTCCACGTTCGTTCACTCATGTATCTGGAGCTTTCTGCCACATCACATGGTCTTCATCAGCACATTGAGTTGGCTTAGTTGTCGTGAAAATGAAGATGCTCAAACAACATCAAGGATACATGATTGTTTTTCCTGTGTTGGCTTAAAAATTCATGACTTGACAACTCATCAACTGTCAATTCACTCGCTTGTTCTGCAGCTTCCAAAGATTTGATCTGTAATCTGAAACGCTGCAGCAGAAGAAAGACTTTATGCATATGGAGAGAATATTTAAGTCCATTTTTTAATTTTGAACACTGAAACCTGAAACACAAAATATTGTGTATGTCTAAAACTTTGTTTCTGAATGCAATTTCAGTGATATGCAGAATCGTCTAATATGAAGATCCTAGTAAAAGGGAACGCTTGGTTGCAGCAACGATACAAAAGCATTGAATAGTTTAAACCTTCAATCCGACAACCAATTGAGTAAATTCAAGCTGCTGATTTTGTGACACAACCAACAGCTGCAGAAATGTTACATGTTTATTCAATCATTATTAGCTAAATGGCGTCAGACTTTTCCCCTTCATGCTCCTTGATCACTTGTCACCTAAATGTGAGTCAACCTCACACCAGAGCAAGAAAAACCAACTCAATGCATTATTTGTCCTCAAAACGAAAATGAATCCAACGAAAAAGGTTCCTGCCATGTTTCAGTGACGTTGACACATGTCTACCCACATATAGCCTGGTTTAACCAAGAATGGAACCTATTCCACCCAGGTCTGGTCTGGTTCCACCCAGATCTCCTCATTTTCTATCCAGATCTGGTCTGGTTCCACCCAGATCTCCTCATTTTCTATCCAGATCTGGTCTGGTTCCACCCAGATCTCCTCATTTTCTATCCAGATCTGGTCTGGTTCCACCCGGATCTCATTTTCTATCCAGATCTGGTGCTATTCTACTCAAATCGGGTCCTGTTCTACCAAGATCTCAAATGTAATACTATTTTGAACAAAAGTGACTGAAACATTGAAGGTTTAGGTTACACAGGATGCCTTCAGTGTACCATCCAAGTAAAGTGTCTTTTGCTGTCATCTATGAGAGGTCAAGTTTCATGATTAATGGACTGTCCAGCAGCCGTTGCTACAGCAGCTGACCAGGGACATAAAATTACAATGCCGCAGAGGAGACATTATAACCCGTCCCTTGTTGCAGCTCCATACTTACTCCTTACTTGATCTATGTTTGGTATCAGATGCATATGCTATTGTACGTGCTTCTTTGAAGGGGATTAACCCTCAGCATGGCCGTCAAAGGGCTTAGTCTTCTCCAACAAACCTCCTTCTACAACCACACATATAAATGCTCTCTGGGTGGAGGTTGGTTGGTTTGTTGGTTTGTTTGTTGATTTATTTATAAATCAAAGGAACTGCCTCCTTATCTGTTTTTTTCTGTTGAAAATAAAAGATCAGCAGCAACAGTTACATTTTAAACTACAATATTTTATTGAAATGGATGTTTTTTGCAAATCCTCACATATGAGAAACCACATGCAGAGGATATTTTTCTCTTTTTTGTTATTTAGACCCATCACAGGGCAGCAACCTCCCCCCTGTAGGGGAAACGTCTTCATCGGCGAGCGCGCTCATGTGAGGAGAAGACGTTCGTCCGAACCCGGGGTCCGAGAGCGTGACCCACCCCGCTTGCAGCTTTGTCATTGACTGTGCATCTGGAATGACGCACACACACACACACACACACACACACACACACACATGACTCGACGACGCGGGTGTGACATGTCTAGATTGGAGATAAATTGCGTTTCAGATTAGATGGAGGAGGAACGGGGGGGAAGGAGGGGGGGGGGGAGCCAACGACAGTCTGCTTCATGGTGAACTCCGCCAGCTGCAGGAAAAAAAAAAGGGATTAAAAACCAGCTTCACCGAAAATCCACATCGAGACCAAAATGAATTACAGTAAAGCGTGCAGGAGCCCGCCGGCTTGATTAAACTGATATTGGCACCTGAGTGGCGGACAGGTGTGTGCTCAGCAGCTCAGGTACACTGTGTGCCGTACCAGCAGCACGCTAACACGCCACCGGGCCTCGGCCTCCTGCTTTTCGCCACGAGTGACAAGATGGCACACTTGTGGGAAGTGGGTAAGAGGGGGGGGGGGCACTGTCACCCTGTATTAAAGCATCCTCTGAATAATGCCCCCTTGCACGTCACTGGGTCTAAAGAAAGCTTTAGCGCAGTGTGCATGAAGCATTCCTTGCACTCGAAGGCTTGATGGTCTGAATAATTGCAAAACAACCGTGGCTCCTCCTGATTGTAAACAGAATAACTCTCGCCTCATCAAATGAGGCGTCGTGTGAAATGTGGGTTTTGATAGAAACTGGCAGGAAGAGAAGTGTAACGTCTTGTTAGCCTCACTCATACATACTCCCCTGTGTTCCCCACTCCAGTTTTCCGATTGTCGTAATTCTTCCCCTCGTGACAAGGCTCTGTGTCTTGGTAGTGTCTGTGACTGCCCCTACTTGTGGATTTTCCTCGCTCCCGGTTGGAGTTGTTTTGAGTCTCTTTTTGTTCCCCAGTAAAGAATCACCTTTTTTCAAGTTAAATCTGGTCTCCAGTTTTCAATCTAACCTATGTGTTAACGTGAAAAGGGAAAGGGGAGAAGTCTCGAGGATATTAAGTAAGAACTGCACCTGTGACGCCATCTTTCCCCTCGCGACCATAATCAATACCAATCAATACCATCAAAGTCTAACGTTGCATGTGTTGCTCCATAAGTAATCCTAATCATTTCTACCAGCTCTATGGAGCTTTTAAGCCTCTCTCAGCTCATGGTTTCGGTTTCTTGGCAAAGAAAGGTCACTGTTTTGTTTCTCTCTCATGGTTTCAGAGAAAAAGCTGTAAAACTTCTCCCTCTCTGCTCTGCAGCAAGCAGCAGACTGACACAATCAGAGACTAAATGATGAATATTGTGGAGAAGGAAGAAGTAGGGAACATAAAAGTGAACATTCCGGCAGGATGTGTTCAACAACCAACAATATATTACACAGGAGACATCACTTTGTTGCTCTTTTGAAACAAGGAGTCAATGTTGATTTATTTGAGATGTCAGTTACGTAGTTACAGAGCTTCTGTGGTTATTTAAACACAAACAACAATCTTTAGTTAAACCTAAGTTTAAACTTACATTAAACCTATCTCAGTTTTTACTTGCAAAGACAGATGTTTATTTTGAAAAATCTTGTTTATGCGACACACACTTGTTGGAATTTTGTTTCAAAATGCACCAAAAATTATGAGTATCTTCATGAGAGATAAAATATGAGTGAAAACGCCAACGTTGTCTACTTGCCCAGTAGCAGTCACACTGATGAAGATAGTGGAGTATCTAGAGTCATATCAGGAGGTGGTGGAGACCAAAAACGGAGCTCAACAGTCTCTGAAGAAATGCTCATGCCACTTCTTACTGCTGCCCCCAGGTGGCCGAGACCATTATTGCTAATTGAAATAATCCAAAAGTAAAGAAAAGACAACCTAATAAACCTAATTGTTTTAAAGATTTGATTACTGAGGATCCCAAATGGTCACCGGTCGATGGACTGAGCACTGACCTTAACACATTTATTAGTATCTTTTTAAGAGCATGTTAGTTTGCTTTGGGTTTTATTTACAAAGAACCCCGGGGAGATGCTGTAACTTTCTTTTTTTCCATCGCACTGTGGGGCCATCTGTCCCTCACCGCCCGATCTGTCACCTCGGAGTTTGGCTCCGTATCAGCTGTGGACGGGGACACGTGACAAACGGTTCCCTTCTCTCGTCCGGAGAACCGAGGCGTTCTTCCGGTGTGAGGGGTCGCGGCAGAACCACCGCGGCATCTGCGCGCAGGACTCCGAGGCTGGAAGTGAAGCCGGGGCGGGGCGGGGCGGGGGAGTTGTGGGTAGAGAGAGGAGGAGGAGGAGGAGGAGGAGGAGGAGGAGGAGGAACACGACCGTGCAACCTGCGGAGGGGGGCGGGGGGGAGCGTGCCAGCGAAGGGAGGTGTCCTCCGGTCCGGGGCCAGGAGCGGAGCTGGCGCCGTAGAGTCCGACGTCTCTCCAAGGTGGAGTCGGTCTCCGGTCCGCGGAACAGCAACTGACGCAGCGGCTTCAATTCCCCGCGGGAAAGGACACCTGGAGGCGCCCTCCTCCGCGGCCACGGGTCTTCTCCTCTTTTAGCATCTTCTTCATCTTCTCGGGCTTTCAATTTTTTTGGAGGGGGCACCATCAAGAAAACTGTGGGACTTTTTTCCTCTTTAAAAAAAATAAATAATTAAACTGAAGCGCCCGAGTGTCGGTGGATAAAGACGGAGTCACAGGAAGACGTCTATTGACGCAAGTGAACATTATGTGAAGAATAAAGGCGTGGAAATGCGTCGCAAACGCTTCTGTCTGCTCGGGGTAAGTTCGGCTCGGTTCCGCTCGTTCGTTTGCCTAAAACGGCTTTGGACATTTCCTTCAATTGTTTAATTAAGCAGGATCTTAATGCGAGTCCACACTAGGATCCGAGGTGTCAGATGCGGATCTTTTCTCCATCTCAAAGCTATTTAAAAATACGGATTTCACCATCTACTACAGGAAAATCTTTCTCTGAGCTGAAATCTTTGGCAGTAAACTAGACTTGTTCATTTAACAACGATCTGCATCATATTGTCACATTAGCGCTGTGCGTGTTTACTTGCACCCACTGAAACAGGAGTTTGGGTGAGGAAACCCTCCCAAGTGACACCATTCCTCCATGGGTTGTTTTTTTTATTGGTGCGACTGAAGCTCGTGCTGACAAAAAAGAAGCGGATTTGGGACACATGGAGATTAAAAGTGCTAATGCACTCCTCTCACTTGGTGTTCTCAGTGTGTGGAATCCCAGAAATGAGAAGTCCAATTAACATCTTCAACTGTTGAAGCTCTGCGCGGTGACTCATGTGAGGCTTATGGGAGCTTGGTGATGCTGCAGATGCCGGAGGAGAATCCATAAGAATAAGACTCCTCTTTTTCCTCCAACATCCCTCCTGCTTTCTATTTTAGTGATTTAGACCGGGACCCCCCCGCCCCCCCCCTGTCCCCTGTCCATCTCTCCTCCCCACCCCCAATTACTGCACCGATGTGTCTGCAAAGAGGTAGTACTGCACGCTTCCCTTTACCCGTTACTTACATTATTAACCTAAACCTCTTCATTCAAAATATTACATTAATATATATATATTTTTAATAATTTTATAAAAATGTTAAATCATTACATTATGAAATATCTGCAAATTTTCACAAACATCCTGAACATCAATCTGAACATAAAACCAGGTTCTTCTTTTATTTTGTTGAGTCCAAGTTTTTGACAAAGGGTATGTTGGATCTCTCTCTGTTTCGCTACATAAATGAGAAAATAGTCTTAGCCGTTAAAAATGAATGTCCTCAATGTTTTTGTTAAAATATTGTATAGATGAGTCTCTGAATGAGGTGGGAACAACCCCCTCCGTATAGAACTAGTCTGTGGTGTGGTGGGTGTAAGGGCTCCCCAATGAGATTTGTGGATCAGAGTGGGAGAATAAATGTATTTTAAAGAGAAGTTTAGTCACATGACATGTTGAAGACACGACAGGTGAAGATAGTCAAAGAATGAATGGGTATGAAACTTCACCACCTCATAGCTTTCATTGAATTACAAATTTTCTGAAATATTATGTTTAAATATGCAATTTATGCATTATGTAATGGTTAATTTTAGTCAATTTAAGATACATTTACAGACAAAGTAGAAAAATAAGACCTAAATGACTATTTTGCATGTCTTCATAGTTAGAGAGAAAAAGTGCAAGTCCTCCGATCCATCTATCCCAAGCAACCGGAGCCACAGTGTGCAAATAGAGGTAAAAGACACCAAAGTGCCTTGAAACTGCTTTAATGCTGAAACAATGACTAAAGACATTGAAGAGGGAGATGTGTCGACTTCACTACTTGTGTTGCACATTTGACTGATTATTATTATTATTTTTATTTTTTTCATCCAGAATATGATCAGCTTTTCATATATTATTGCATCTCTCACAGTCAACACATCGTCCTCAAGTAATTTTAAAATGGAAATTAAATATGCAGATTAAATAAATTCAAAATAAGTTGTTCCTTTCTCAATATGATTTTCTGGTTTGTTGTCTCTTGATTCAGACTCTCTGTTGTGCTGAACACACACCTCCGGACACCTTGAGCATCAGAGGCAAATATTAAAGGCAACAACATTTTGCTGCAATTATTATTATTATTATTAAGCAGCTTATTCGAACGAGTGTCTAGAAAGTGCTCCGTAAGTTGTATCCTGAAGGACGTCTGAAGGTCAAAGTATAAACTGCTCAGGCTGGAGGAACCAAATAGACTGTGATAATCTCAGAACCGTACAGTGATATTATCTGCTGTTGTTTATAATTGTGCAAACATCACAAAAACTCAAAGTTCAGATCACATCACAATCTTTAGAGGTCACGTCACATTTGTTGCGGCTGATACGGATTCCTGGTACGGCTCTCTTCCTTTTTTCACCACACTCCAAAAAATCATCTAAACTGAAGTTAAGTGCAAACCATCACATTTTCCAAGTGTTATAGTTATAGTAGCGGCTGGTGGAAAATGTTACAGGCAGGGAAATCAAATAAATTCCAGTCCGCTTAAATGGCGATAAAATCCGTGCTCTTTACTTCCTCCAGAATGTCACACGCCTGCAGATACCAGCCTTGACGAGAAGGCGCACGATTGGTGCAAAACCAATGTTGCCCCGGGCTGAGTCGCTTTTAAGGACGCTGATTGGCTAAATTGTGTGAAGTAGAAGTGCTTCTCAGACCCGCCTTCTGCGGGCAATCCTGAGTTTGTCGCTATCGCAGCTAGAACGCACATGAACACATTTAGCATTTTTTATAATTGAATATTATCTTTTCTTACACAAGTCTCATGGAGGGCGCTCCAGGTGGGACATAGACAGACACAATGGACGTTTTCCTTTGAATCATCATGGCGGATTTAGCAGGCCAGCGACCGTTGTGCTTTAATGTTAACGCTGCTTATAGAAAATGAACCGAACAGGGTGCCAGCGTCTGGTTGTCCCTCCGCTCCACTGCGTACTATATTGTACTATAGTCACATGACCTCGGGAAAAGGCGCAGCGTTTCACTTCTATGTTTCAAACTCTCTTCCTGTCCGTTTGGCCACAGACTTAGCGAGCGGCGTATTTCCAGAGCGGATATTTTCACTGATTATCTTAAGACAACGATCAGCAGTAAAACTTCATTGAACCCTGCAATGGTTAAAGAGTGTCGTTAATCTAAGGGTCACATTAGGCCAACTGGAGTGGATTAAAACATATGGGACTGTTGTTGTGAAAATACAAGAGTGGAAGAAGACGATTGCATCACAATCTTTTTATTGTTATGACGTCATTATAATGAAAGCATCCGTCCCAACATGTAATAAAGAAAGAGTCCCGCTAAAACACTGATGCTTTGCTCAAAATAATCCTTTAATACTCACATACCTCTACAAGCTTTGCTTTCTTATTGCTGACAGTAATCCTATAGACGCGACAATCTAATCTAATCCATATAATTCTATTTCAATCAAGTCTGTATTCCCCACACAAAGACCACCGGTCTGTCCCACTTCACGCTGCCGCAACGACGCGCTTTCAAGTCTCAGGTTTAATGACGTGAGGAAAACAGTTGGAAAGCTTAATTCTTCCAAAATAACGTTTTACTTTATGTTCTTCCAAAAAGATGTTGCAATACTGTGAAGTATGTTTTATTCAAAGGGCCCGTGTTGAGACCTCTGGGGTATCTACTGGCAGATGTTTATTTTATAATATTCCCATGTTTCATTGTTGTATAATAACCTGAAACCATGTGTTTTCATTAGTTCATATCTACATAGTTTCTTCTTCAGAGATTTCTTTATGCCGCATTGCCATGGGGTGTGAATATGACCTCAAATCAAGTGTCAATCAATCAAGTGTTTTTCACCGTGAGGTATTATCTAACTCCCCTTAAAACATGATTCTACCAAATACTACTAGATTCTCTAATGTAAGGGGACATATCTTAAGATAAATACTGTAAAAAAAATAAAATAAGGAGTCCCCTTTGTCTTCTGCCCCATAATATAGTTTTTTGGTTGATGTTGAACTGTGTCGCTGAGCAACCTGATCTCAGTAATGTAAAGTAAAGAATAACGTTTTGTTTTTCAACCACACTCAAACCGGCAAATACATTATACTTAATAATAATTAACGCTGACATAACATTTTACATCCTACGTTTTTTTGTACTCAATAAAAACACTCAAACGTGTGCAACTCTTTTTCGAAACACATCGGAATCCATGTCGGTCTCCAACGGTACATCACCCCCTTCTCCCCCGGCTTGCACCGCTATCTTTCTACAGCAGCCCACATCGGACAAACCGAACTCTGACTCTGAGCCTTTTGTGTTTTTACGCCCGCCGCCGTCTGACCTCAGTGACCTCTGTTATCACGTTGAGAATGACCCGCGAGCTGGCGCAGGTTTCGCACTCGGCAGCTCGCGTTGCCACGGCGCGAAAAGGGGGAGGAGCGAGGAGATCGGTTGCCAGGGGTAACAGCAGCCTCCCCTGGTGTCCCGCCGGTCCGCGCTCAAGTACATTTGCAGCGACGTGCGGGGGTCAACTGGGTAAAAGGGCCAACAAAAGACCCACAGACGTCACCGGGGCAACGTATACCCCAACGCACATTTTCACCGGTCACGAGAGATCCGGTGTGAGGTGCTAAATGGATGCACCATATGTCATGTGCAAAAAGCAGGTTCTCACCTTTAGTCGGGGGGGGGTTGTGTAAACGCAGCAGATGCTTTATTACATCAACGTTATGGTCAGTAAACAAGCTGTTTGTTCCTTCACACGGATGCATAGAATTATGTAACATTGTTTCATGTCCGCTCCCCCAACCACCCTTTGCACACATGTGAAGTCGCTGCAAATCATGCAAATCATGCACACAGATGAATATGAATTTATGCACTGCAGCCCTCTGAGAGGCTAAATAACTGCCTGGCCTTTATATTCTCCTGAGACCTTGTACCTGTAAACATGAAAGCGTTGAGGTGGGCAATAATCACTCAAACTACAAAGCACTCAAAATGAACAAAGATGAGTTGTTAACACACCATCCTCTGCTCAACGGCGCCGCGGGTCTTTCATTTGGATTCCACTTTACCCACTGCACGGCGGGTTATTCAATTCTATGTCTGTCACAAATGGTGTTGTTGTTTGATCTGCTGATTGGTGGCTCTTCTCTTTCTGCAGGTGTTTGCCATCATGAGCCTCCTGCCCTCCGGCTCCCTGGCAGATCTGACGTGTGAAGCCTTGCTCATGCTGTCGGGAAACGTCTCCTGTAAGTGACTACGGCTTAAACAGCTTTAACATAATAATAAATCATCAAGATACTCAAAACTATGTCCTTGTCTTAATCGGCAAAATGTATTTTCTTATTAGCGCGTCTCCAAGCAGGACTCACAAGGACAGTAATAGCTGGTTATAAAACACTGCAATCACCCAGAGAGCATACCCACACACGCATACACACATGTGCACACGCAAACAGGAATGATCTTGTTATTTGCCTCCGGAATTTTTACTCATGACTATAATAGTGTTGTGTGCTTATGCTGTCACATTTGTCCCAGATGGCAATGTTGAACTTGTGTCTGTGGTGATGAAACGTCAAAAATAAAGTTTTTAGAAAATGCCCCAAACTCCAAAACATTCTTTTTACAATAATATATGACTGGGAGAAAAGCAGCAAATTGTTAAAAGGCCGATAAATCAACAGCAATGTAAGGAGCAGACGTTTCAGAATTATGAAAGTTTCATAAGTATGATGATGATCCTCGTCTTACTTGGTTAAGGGGAGAAAACAACATTGTAATAATAAATTAACAAAATAATGTAACAAAACAATGTAACACAACAATGTAACTGAACAACGTAAGTGAACAACGTAACTGACCAACGTAACGTAACAATGTAACGTAACAATGTAACGTAATAACATAACGTAACAACGCAACAAAACAACGTAACAAAACAACGTAACAAAACAACGTAACGTAACAATGTAACGTAACAACGTAACAACGCAATGTAACAACGTCATGTAACAACGTCGTGTAACAATTCAACGTGACAATTCAACAAGTCAATGTCACAATGCAAAGTAAACGTAACATAACAACTCAACATAACAACTCAACATAACAACGTAACAACGCTATGTCACAAAACAACGGAATAATTTAACATACCAACTTAAGGTGACAACCCAATGTAACAATACCGCCCATCAATGCCACATGACAACAAATGTAACAGATAAGTTTAGAAATGTGACGTAACAATGTGACGTAACAATGTGATGTAAGAATGTATGAATGAGAATTAGATTCTTTGGCTGGTTTACTTCTTCTTTCTGCAGATGTTTTAGGAAGAGAGAGAAGAGACGAGACAGAGTATCTATTTGTTTATATAACTCAGTTGCTTCCAGCAGTTCGAAACATTGTGCAGATAAATAAAAATGTATTGTCTTCATATGAAGCTCAGTACTGAAGCTCAGGTTTGCAAACTATACTGCAAATTCTGCACTGACACCAAGTGATGAATGAGGTCTTATGGGAGTAAAAAATGGACCAAACGTTTTCTTGTCAGAGACTTCAAACGAGTCGCGAGGACGTAAAGCCCTACGAGCTCTCAAGCTACTTAATATTAATGAATATTAAATGGACTGCATTCATAAAAGGACTTTTCCATACAGACTGCCATTTGTCCATTTTCAAACACATTTGATCAGCCGATGGTGGCAGACTTGCCACGGTCCACATGGTTAAAACTGAGTTAACCTGGTAAGTGGCTCCTGGTTTGGGATAAAAGTTAAAGTTCACATGCCCAATCCCAGTCTTCAATTTTTAATTAATCATATTTCATTTTATATTCTTTCTTTCATTACTTTATTTTATGACTACATGCGAGTGTGTTAAAAAGAAATCTGTTAGACTGAACCGTCAACTTTGACCCAGCCAAACATTCTCATTTTTTTTAGTTATTGCAGAAATCGCCTCAGCCTCCAGGCACGTCTACAGTCATATTCGCTGCTACCGTCCCGTTATTGCCGGGGTAGAGGTCTCTCACCAGTGTTTACCCTTTAATGCGCATCCTTTGTTACCGCTAAGCTGAATGTAATGAGATTTTTCATTGCCCTCTGCTGAGGTGTGCAAATACGGATTGAGGTTATTGATGAATCTCTTCGCCCCTGGATTTGCAGTACAGTTGCTGGCCTCCTCCTGGAACCAGACCTTGAGCAACGCCACAGGTCAGTGGAGCGGTGAGTTAAACACGTTTCCCCTCTTTTCACAATGTGAGAAACTGGTTCAGTGCAGTGATTGTTGAGAAACTCCCCCGGGAGGGAAATATGTTTGATCTGAACTCAGATTATGGACGTAAGAACATCAAAGACAATGCTGGAAATAGAATTGGAGAGAACAGTAATGATTAGATCCCGTGCTCAAACACGTTGTTCCACTGCCACAATTCACCGTTGGAGCGCTGTCAGGTTTGCCACCGCGTGGCGGGGGAAACGGACCTCCTTGTCTTGACATTTCTGTCCCTGCGCTGCAGGCTCGGGTCCGTACTGCGACACCTCCGTCGATGGCATCGGGACCTGCTGGCCCAAGAGCGGCGCCGGCCACATGGTGTCACGACCCTGTCCGGAGATGTTCTACGGCGTCAGATACAACACCACCAGTAAGTCCCTCCCTCCTCAAGCTACTGCAGCTAAACGAGAAACAATAGATTCAAAAGCCAGATTTGTTTTGATTTCAGACACCGACACCCCCCCTCCAACCCCCTTCTCTCCGCTCTTATTCGTCTTCCCCGTGGGCGAATCCTGTTTACGTAATTGCGTACACAGAAAATTAGCATGAGCATACAAATTAGTGAGAAAAGAAGTGTTGGCAAACCAAATGTGCTCACAAAGTAGGACTGATGCTCGACATACATCGGCAGACGGAAAGGAGCCAAGGCGCTGAAAAACGAGGCGGAAATATGGGATAATGTTACAAAATGAGGTTTAAATCGCAGCTGTCTGAGATGCTTAAGCCTGTTAAAACGATAAATTAACTGGTGTTAATTCTTAATTATTCCCTATAAGTCGAACACTTCTGAGTACTTGATCTGCGGCCATAGAACCAAATATAATCCACGTAAAAAGTGTCTTAGTGAGCTGATTTCTTTTTCTCTTATTTCTAAAGTAACTAAAGAAGTTTCGATTTCTGCTCTGGTGTCAAACTGTTCTGGTGTAAAAAGTTCATTGCTACAGCAAACTTTGATATAGGCAGCTACTTAAACTAAAGCTTCATGTGTTAAAGCTGCATTCTCTCCAGTGACCACCAGGGGGCGACTCCTCCGGTCCTATAGAAGTCTATGAGAAAATGACTACTTCTCTCTTGGTTTATTCTTTCAGTAAACATGAGTTTATGGTCTCAATCTACATTTTCAAGTCTTCTTCAATACATGATGTTAAGTTAGTAAATCATGGTCCATTTACAGTCAAACAGACTCTATAGCGGGGCGCTTTAGGGCGGGGCTTACTGTCATTGGCAGGTCTCTGTTGGCGGCTCTACGTCACTCCTCCACATTCCTAATAAGGTCACTTTAGGAGCGACCGTGGCGTATGGAGTAGAGAGGATGCGCCAGTAACTGCAGGGTTAGATTGACACCATTGTTTGGAATTGGTTGATTGACTTTTTGGAAGCAGGTACCCAAAAGCCCAGGTATTGATATCAGGGACAAAGATTGAATTTAAAGAGGCAATTATTCAGATATGGATCTGTTCTTCTTGTGATCTATAACTTGTTTTAATTCATGGCACTGTGGCGCTGAAGGTAGAACAAACGCAACACAGTAAAGACATTTTGGTATATTTAGGTGATAAAATCAGAGTTTCTTGAACATTTAAGAGTGTAAAACCCTTCAGGACCGCGAGGAGAGAAGGAGAGACGGGTTATAATTCAGCTCACCAGTAATTTGACACTGGGACGTTCATTTCACCTTCCGGATTAACATAATCTCCATTCAAGCACAGACTAAAATCCTTAAAAAAGACCTCCCATCAGCTGACTCCACCAGGGAAGGTAAATAGTGGAAAAAGGTGTTTACTTTATGGAGATTTAGGGCCGAATCACTTACTGAACGTTACAATCCTCCATCGTATCACCCGGGAAGTCACTCAAATGAGGCTTCAACCTGAAGCTGTATTCTTAGCCTGAATGTATTATTTATCCTTTTTAAATAATTTATATTTTTCACTGATGAGGTCACAAGAGGCTAAAGGCAAAACATTTAATGAAGCTATTTGCTGTCACTTTGTTACCTAAAAAGCTTTATTTTGAAAGTTTTTAAAAACACAGTGACCTTCTGGAGTTTCAGGGATTTGTTCTTCACAAATCGGAGCTGAAATCATCAGTTTGTTTGTGGCCTGTTTTGCTGAGGACCCGTAATGAATAATGTTGTTATTCAAAAAACACTTAACGGCAGAAATGAGTCCGGCGGAGCTCGGGGAGCAGCAGTGGAGCAGCTGATGTGACACATGTGTGTTTTTATCTGCTATTTAAATAGTTGAATACATGTAGTGCAGTAGAATGAACAATCATTCCCTTTGAAATCTGGTACAAAGGAGGGAAAAATGAAAATAACAAGGTGTGGTGGAAATTGTGGATTTAGCCAGGTCGGAATTAGACTTAAGTACAGAACTTAAAGATAAATGTGTTTTCCACAACGGTCTGCTTCTGTTTGGACCACCAGCACATGTTTGGTATTATTCGTCTTTACAGGAAACACCTTTTACAGTCTGTAAAATCCAAAAGTGCTTCACAAGACAAACAGAATGAGGAGATGCCAAATGTACAATGTGTGACCAATTAGTTTCCGCTCCACTTCGCTGGTGACTGATTCACTGCCACCAGGAGACGAGGCTGCCATCAATTCCCCTGTTTCTATGTGGCTCTGGTGTAAACAGCTGATCCACTTCATCTATTTTTAAACCAGTTTCATTCCACAAACCTTTCTTTTATTAGACGACTCAGCTTTAACAGATCACTGTCAGTACATAAACAGGAAAGAAATATATTTTAGGTCTGAAGTGAAAAGGAAGCGTGTGAGAAGACTGAGGAGGAGGAAGTAGTAGTAGCGGTAGTAGTGTGAGTAGTAGCAGGACAATATTAAGGGGCTTTGGGCAGAGCGGGGCGAGCAGAGGGCACTTAGAAGCCTGAGTGGATGTAACCGCTCCGCGGATCCACAGGGAGATTATCGCAGAGTTCAAAAGTCACTGTGCGTTGGTGCAGAAAGAAGGTCCGCGATGATCAGCTCTTAAGCCGAGAGACAAAGAGACAAAACTGGGAGATGATTCAGAGACAAGTACCACAAATTACAAATGAAGTGGATTCCGAGAAGAGGACGAAAATTAGTCATAAACTGGACCAAGAAATGTTGACTCTTCAAATGACAACGTGTATTACTGTAGGTCATTAACAGATTATTTTTCCACAATTCAGATCCTTCAGTGCAGTAAAAGTGCTAATACCACACTACGTGTGGGCATATATTATATATTAGATGATTAATATGACTCATGCATTAATGTACAAACTGATTTTTAACTCATGTTAACAATTAGTTAATGATTACTTTTTCTAATTATAATTATTCTATTTTACATGATCATTTTACATGATATTTTACTATTTTAATCTGATAATCGTTTCACCTGTACTTGTATAATTGGAGGGGTCTAATTACTAAGTAGTCGTCTTGATTTGTGTGCATCAGTCTTAATTTGTTGATTTGTTAAGCAGCTAAAGCTGTCGGATCGATGTAGCTACAGAGCGTCGGGGAAGGAACACTCTCGTAAAGTGCACAAGTAAATGTAAATGTGGAGTTAAACTCCAGCGCTGCGGCTTTGAGCCTCAGTCTTTGTGACTGAAGAAGTTACAGCCAACATGTTCTCTTAAAATACAACCTGCTGCTGAACAGAAGTAAAGATGACAGCCATTGTGTGTTTGTGTGTGTGTGTGTGTGTACGCTTGTCCCTCCCTGAATAGCAGTACTATGAAACAGCACTTCCACGAATCGGGTTAGTAGGTAGCCAACCAGGCAGTGCTTCAAAAAGCGAGCGAGACAAATCCCAGATTAAAGGGGCCGTGCATAGTGTTCGATGGCTTCTGGCTGAGGATGTGAACCCGCAGTCCGCTCATTTGATTCCAAACCCGTTAATCCATCCCATAAAGTACACATGTATATACAAAAAAGTTTAGACCGTAAATGAACGTTTAAACGTGGAAGTCTGTCTTTAGAGTCAATGTAATAGTTTGTAGTTTGGTTTGTCCTCTCTGGGCCACCGTAGCAAGAAGCCTGCCGCTCCCTCTACCGATACGCAGAGCTCACTCTAAAGACAAAGCAACGATACATAGTTTCAGGTGAACTAATCAAATGTTGTTTTGAACACTATATTACATTTCTGCCAACGGAGTTACTCAAATGCTGCATACTGGCCCTTTAAGTCAAGAGCAGTAGAAGTGTGGCTTCACTCTTAATGAATGGAACTGGTTGTATTGGGGTAGATGCTTAAAATGATTTTAACGCCTTCATGTCAAGCCAAGATAAGCGTGTCATTACAGTATAATAATGCAGACTGGGTGAAAGGCGTTGAACAAGCGACTCTTCCACCTGTCCACTTTGCTCTCAACTCTCTATTATTTGACGGCTGTGTTTGAATCTCCCCACATTTAGCCAGAACGTTTTCCAAATCACTGTCTTTTAGGGACACAGTGGTGGTCCTGTGCAGGGTAGATGTTGAGATGGAAGTAGCCTAGCAGCTAGCTTAGCCTAGCGGTGTGTAAAGTGGTCTGTTTTCCGCTCACCCCCCCTTCTATTTGACACGAGGAGTCTGTTTGTTTTACTCCCAATGCAAGCTCTCTCCATCTTCAGCTACCATCTTGCTCTCTTCTGTCTAACTGACTGCAGCTAGCGGCGGTTTTCTACACGAGAAGTTAAACAGACTTAATTGTGTTAAAATATTTTATCACATTAATCTCGGCCACATTAATCGCGTTAATCTATGCGATTAAAGGTTTGAGAGGAAAGATAATGTTGCACTATGATAAAACTTGATTTGTGTGTTTTTTCCCAAGTGATCACCATGTTGCCAAGCATATGCGCAGAGAGGGCGGCGGGGGGGGGGGGGGTAGGGTGGTTCGCGGGTTGCGAGTGGTGTGAGAGACGACCAGGGGGCGTCGTCCAGACCACTCAGCTAGTGAGTCGTGACAGGCGCCCCTGGTGCTGCACGCCCTCCTCTGGGCTCGTGACTCGGCTCCTGTTGTTGCACGTCTACTCGCCCCGCCCGGAAACCCTCCTCACCGAACTTGACTTTCCCCTGATGGCCCCCACAGGGGGGCCAGTGCTTGTGTGTGTGTGTGTGTGTGTGTGTGCGCACATGTCACTGACTGGCTGCGAGTTGTCTGGTCTTGCGTCAGTCAGACTGGATATAGGATGCGGAAGGGGAGGGGGTACTCTTTATTTAGAGTACTGCTCACCGCCAGTCACCCCGGCTCGCCCTCCCGCTCGCTCTCAAGGAATGTAACGCTCCTCCTTTTGTTGAATGAGCTCCAGCATATTCGTTGAATATTAATTCATGAGTGCCATGTAAGTGCATGTGAAGGGGGGGCGGTGAGGGTCGGGGGAACATCAAA